AGAAAGCTATGGGCATCTTGAGTGATGAAATTGTGACCACAAATCACATTGGCTATATCCTCAGTTAAGCTGCAACATCTACAGACTCAATAAAAAATGTAATTTGATTGGATGTAAGTCAGCATAAAAATAACTTCATTTTTAAAAAAGAAATCACAATAAACTAATTTCATTTACTTTCTGGATGGAGAGGTAATGCGGAGGAAATAGTTCAGATTAATTTTGCCAAAGCAATTACTACAGCATTTGAAATATATAACAAAAAATTGTTCAAATTGTTTTGGATGAAAATGTGCAAGAAAAACAAAAACGGAGACCTCCTACACATGCAGATGATGTACGTTTTACTTTATCGGAATATTTGTTCCTTGTGTGTTGTAAACATTTCTAAAAGCAAGGTCTATCTAGACTGCATGCTTTGCCCTTGATAATAGACTTCAGATAAATCCTTGTCATATTTTCTAAGGTACATTAGACTGGATATCTATTGCCCTGCTCAGCTGGTGATGGCAGCTTTCTTGTTTATAATGCCATCTCTGTTTTCCCGTTTTGATTTAAGCATCCCCATTTTTGCTCTCTTACATCCCTAAGCCTTCCGTCAAAAATGTACAAGAAGGCATTGTGTGCGTTGACCTCAAGAGCTAGCAAATTGATTGCAAATTGGCCAAGGGACCAAACACTGGTGGGTAATGAAAACTGTGACACCAGCCTGAGATGCCTGAAAGTGTTCCATACTACTTACAGAGACATTAAACAGAACTGACTGCCTCCTGCAGTATTGCCTGTGGGAACACCACCGTGATGAATGCGTGATCAGACCTGGGTGTTTCTGTTAATTATCACATCAAGGAGAAATACAGAGCCCTTTTAATGTACAATGACAGTAAGGGAGGAAAACAGGAAAACTTCACTGAAGCCAGAGAGCAAGCAGGCAATGACTTTATTTTCATCTGTCTTCTCCACACCCTTTTCTCTGCCAAAATCTGTACCAAGTTGTTGCAGCCTCTAGCACCCATCAGCCGCACAAGTATCCATTGTACATCCCATTGCAAATCCTAGAACTTGGTCCTCAAAGAGGCATTCACCATAAGTCACAGCTGTGTCATCTTCCATGAGCCTACAGTTTGTTGATGCTGCCTGTTTACAATGAGAAATAATGGCTTAATTCCTTATACAGTCTGGCACAACCACATGACCCCACGTTCTGTTTGATTATCTGTTACCATTTTATTATTCTTTTTTTTAAAGAGAGATTTCTAAAAAAACACTCTTTCAGCTTACAATTATTTGAAAATATCTGATCACTGAATTTAGCCTACAGGTCTTTGGCATTTCTGTGAATCTTCAAGATTCCCAAACCCCAATTTTTGTCACTCATTTAGAATTGTGGAAATGGCTTGCAGTTATGTTGATAGGCTTAGATTAGATACTATTCCACTATTAAAATGTTTTTTCTTATGTTTTTCTTTCTGCTTTATTACATTCTTTGTATCCACTTCTCTTTCCATGTAAGTGGAGGAAAAATCTCTCCCTTCTATACTGACTCTTCCTATGATGCCACTGTCATTCCCATGCACAAGAAACCTAAGTTTAATCTGTTATGAAGTGTACAGCAGCAAGATGGAAAGTGAAAACTGAGTCATATGTTTGTTTTATAATATTACCAGTATTGAGCGTGATCAAATTATTGACCATGCAAGCAGGACAGTATAATCTTTGGAAAATGTTTCTGAAAATGTATCTTAGTAGAGTACACAGGAAAAAAAAAAATAATTGGGGCAAATCAACATCTCCTTTGATTTTGGCAGATTCGCAGATGTAAATGATCCCCTTCATTCAGAGACAAATGCTCATGCACACCTTCAGCTGGATGCAGAGTGCACTGTTATTGATCTAAAGCTAAGTAAGCAGAATTCTAGACCTTCTGTATGTCAGATCTCCAAAAGGACTACACTTTGAGTGCATAAATATGTTCTGAATTTCTTTGCAACATGAGGAAGTGCCTCCACAGACTTTTGTAGCCATGCCTACCAAGATATTTCGGCCAGCTGCTGAGTCCTTGATCCTTGACTCTCCTTGATTTCCCCTCAGTCATTTCACTGGTGTATTTAATAAAGATATTTCTGATTCAGTCCTCAATAGTGTGTACAGAGCAAAAGGGATGTCTGTGAACCTCTTGGTCCTCTTGGTGCAACAGATGAGCTTAGCAGAAAATATAATCCAGATCCCAGTCTCAACAGCATCTCAGGAAATGGAATAATGCTTGTCACATTATCCTGAATCTTATGAGAGCAGATCAAACAGACAGTGAAACTCTTTAAATTCCCACCTGGTTTTGGTCATTTTTAGTAGCTCTCCATTAAAATAATAATAATAATTTAAAAAATAATAATAACCCCCAGGCTAGAAATCCCAGCACACAATAAATGCCATTCTAGAAAGACTTCTCTTGCTGTGAGCTCCTACCATAGCAAAGTAGAACCATCATCCTTTTATGGAAAGTGTGGTCTTCTGCTTAGTGATTTCAATATTTCCTTTTTGTTCGACACTAAAAGATGCCATTTAAATTCTAGGCAGTATGTATCTGATAGTAAACAGTACCATTGTAACAACAGTACCAACAGTAACATTGAGCAGCTGCATGATAAAATGACTGAACCTTTCACTGCATCTCTGTGTATTTTTTCCTTATTAGGAAGTAAATTAACTACAAAGGGTATAAAATATTTACATACGTATTCATGTTTATATATATACATGTACACATTGGGCACACTGGGATACCTGCCAACATGTTTTTTGAATACTTTCCGGAGAGAAAGCCTTGAGCCCTGGCTGGAAGCTGAGGCATTTCCCCATGCTGCTGCCAGGGCTAGAATGGCAGTGGTTTGGAGTCATGGACTTTGGGCTACAAATAAAGGTGAGACCTTCTGTAGGCTGTATCCACCTGTGTTCCTCCTTTTTTTTTTTTTTTACAGCTTTATTTTTGCCCCTGTGGATCTGTCAGTACCTCCTACATGTGCAAAGGCTGCCTCCTGAGGTCTATCAGTGAAGCACATTGCTGTAGATCTGTGCTTCTTAAGTGTGTCCCTTGCTAACCCCACATGATTTCAGGCCATTTAGTTTGTTGGATTGAAGAATGTGATATAGGATCTTCCTGCTGCTCAGCTGTAAGTCTGCATATGCCCTTAGACCAGTGCAAAGTGGCCATATCCAAAGCAAGGGGTGTCCTCACCATTTCTTCATGAGCAAGGAGTGATTATACCTAGGATGCATTTCTTAGACATTGTTAGTTATTTTGAGTGATTGAATGAAAACTACTTAGAAATCTGTTTCAAGCTGAAAGACACTTGTAAACACTTTTCTCTGTTTGGTGCTTGCAGTGTTTGTCCTTTCATGCTGCTCTGCTGTGCTATCCATTGCTACTATTCTGCAGCATAACTAACATCTCTGCCTGAACTGCACCCAGACTCATGAGGAGCTTTGAAGGCAGTTGCGTGAACATTCTTAGAAGGAATTTTGCATGCATAAAAGCATACTTTCCAGAGTGTTCACACTGCTATCTTTTCATGAGAGTGTTCTCAAGAAAATAATTTCCTTTCAGGAACATGTGCAAGGCATAAATAAAAGGGCTAGAGATACCAACAGACCGTATTTCGTATTCCTTTTGTAAGTACAGTAATTCTTTCCAGTGTCACTCTTGTTTCAAAGTTTGTATCATCATGAAAACTGTTCTTAGATTGCAGGCATTCCTTTCTTTCTAAATTGACTGAAATCCATGTAGTGTCTAGCTCTCCAAAAGATCATCTTCCGTTGTCCACAGTGGTTAACTTGCACTGTGTGGCTCATCTTCAGTATTATTTCAATGGAAAGAAGAATTCCATGAATTCAGGTTTTTGTTTTTTTTGTTTTCAAAGATACCCTTCCACAAAGCTATCATAAATTTCAGGAAAGGAGCTTTAACTTGGTGCGTTTGTTTTTCTTTTTGTTTGATTGTTTCTTGCAGTGCTTTTACATCTTAACATAGCTGGCATTTTGTCTGTCCTTTATTTATCCCTCCATAAGCCCACAAAACAAAGCTTAAGTTGCTGCTAAGTAATTCACCTTCAGCTGAGGGTGATTTTTTTGCTTTCTACGTGAAGACAGTATTATGTTATACCTATTAATTGTTTTCCTATACTCATTTCCAGAAAAACCACATTCAATCAGTCTTTTTACAGGTGGGCATGTATTGTTGACTAATTTCATTTGAGTTCCTACCATAGAGTGCATCTGCTGTTTCATTTCCTTCTCACTAACGCCTACAAATATGATTCTCTTTATCTGCAGCTCTCTGGGAATGCTTGTGAAATTCAGCTTCTGAAAAGGATTTGTGGTATAATATCTCACCTGGAGATATTGTATAGCAGCAGGGAAGAAAGTAGCCCATATATCCTGTAAGGTTTTATGAAAACAGTTGAGAGGGACAAACTAATTACACTATCTCCTCAGCAGAAAATGGGCAGATTAGAAGAGCTACATCAGTCTAAAATGATCTGGAAAGCTCACAAATGATTACTCCCTCCTTGTAAAAATAAAGTGTTCTGTTAAATTAATAAACCTGAAAACATGCTTGGAATCAATGAATCAGGAAAGGAGTTATGTGGAATTTATAAAATGCATATAAATTGTTTGGTCTGCTTATTTGTGCTCAGAAAGCACAGGCTTTTTGGAAATTTCCAACCTAAATTATAAAGCCCAGGTTGTAGTATTTCAGAACACTCAGTTATGATTACAGTGAGAATCTTCCTGTCTGATATGTCCGCAATTACTTGGTGTTTGCAAGTGTTTGACAGTATCACTTAAAAGGAAAAGGGATTATTGTGAAGTAACTGTTGATACATGTTGAATTTTATATGTATGTTCACTTTCCCTATACATCCATCTTCTTTCTCCATGTATTTATATGTTTGCATAGATACACAGGCACATAGAGATATTAGAAATAAAATATGTTCCCATAAGACTGAAGCAAGATTTTATTTTGTTGCAGACTCTGTGTGAGCTTGTAAGAACAGTGAAATCCTGATTGTTCCATGTTACACAGGCAAGTATTTTCTTTTTAATTGAAATCTGAAAAGATAACTGTCTGAATCCTCTTGCATTTCTTTTTCTCAGTATCATTTTCTTGTGGTGAAGGACATTTGTTTCTAAAAGGACAGTTGAGTTTTTGCTGAAATTAATCCAACTGGATTCTGTCTAATTAGAAGGAATGTACATGTTTTCATTTCTGTCTACATCTGTGGTAGTACTTCAAAAACACTGCCATTTACATTGGTGAAACCCTGTTGTTAATAACTGTATTAAGCCCATATTACCAGTGGCAAAAGTGAAGGTCCTCCACGTCATGAGCTTCTGCTGTGGATTTCTTCTGCATGCCATGATATCACAGAGCAATTTGAGTGAGAGGAAGTGTGGGTGTCACTGTGGCCAGCTTCCAAACTAGATGCAAATTAGAGTTCAGGGCCTTTGGGCCATGTGTAGATGAAGAGGCCGTGCACAGTGCAGATCCATCCAGGTGGCTTCATGGTGCTCACTATTTAGAAGCAAGAGTACTTTGCTGTCATTTACTTAGCCCAAGTAAGCACTGTTAAGAAAATGAGTGACAAGTTAGAGAGGCAACATTTCCAAGATTGCAATGAAATCCCTGAGAATAATAAAGATGAACAAAAGTGTAATCACTTATATGTGTTAATTGGCTTTAAATGCATTGAAAATAGGAAACGTTTTTAAGGCAGGCTAGACGTACATTTAATTACTTGGCAGTGAATCAGAAGGGTTATGTTTGCTGCATGTACTCCCCATTTTTCAGAACTACAGCATTACTGTTCCTTCAGTTCTACAGACAGTCTCTCTCTCTGCACCTACTAATTTTTCTTAGGTATTACTACCAGCACTCTAAGTGTCAATGACCTTTCCTCTTCTGTGTTAATAATCTCTTCAGCAGTTTATTCCTGTGGATATGAACTTGAGCCTTCTTTATTTAGGGTGTTTATTTCTTCATCTTTGAGTGGTTCTGAGCCATGAAATGGGATTTTATCTTGGCCAAGCCCTGACAAAAAAAAAATAAATGGAGCAAACAAATGGTAGCATAAGCCAAGTGGCTTCACATATACTGGTGTGTGCTGTCAGTGGAAGGACTGGTAAGATAGAGAGCAAGATTCTCCCAGGTGGTGGGCAGCATGAGAGAAAGGTGCTGGATTTTGCTGGAAGATTTTAGAAATGCTAGAATTTGTTGTTGTCATACTATGTTCTAGACAATGGTTAGTCCATTAGTCTGGACTAATGGTTAGTCCAGCAAATGATGTGAGAGGTAAGGAGGAGAGACAGTGGACAAAGTATGTGTTAAAAGTGATATCAAGTACACACTATGATGAACTAGGGCATTGTGAGCAGATATATGGTATGATAAGAGCAAGAAAGTAGGAAAATTATTTGCTTCTTCCCAAAGTGAATCACTAAATACGTTTTCCTTTATCCTAAAATGTTATTTATTCTTTCTTTCCACTTGCTTTCTACTGTTCCAAGAAAAAAAGATTGTGCATTAAAATTCAACATATTTTTATGTAAAGATCAGAAAATTGAGAAAATAATCTCAGTTATTTATCCAATGCACAGCTCTTAGGAAGATTTCTTCCCCAGAGCAGAGAAAAATTATTCCTCCCCTTTCATACCTCAGTCTCCTAGGGGTTTACTTTACCTGAAAGAAGCAGCAGCATTTCCATTCCTTCCTTTTGATCCATGAAAAGCCTGGATCTGCAAAACTGGCAGTTACTTCCTGATAACGGGAGCTTTGACAAAAGTCCAGACCATCTAGGATTAATTCACACAGTTTTAAGGAGGCGATTATTAACTAACACAGCATGCTGCATAAAAGGCTAGGAGCAGAGCCTGCAGTTGGCTTTAGAACTTTGGTTTAGGTGGTGGTTAGTGTACACTTAGAAATTTTGAATGGCTACTGCAACAAGGATTGAGCTTCTTGTTTGTGTTTTGGATATATCTTTACTGAGATACAATGATAACATAAGGTGACCATTTTGAAAAAGCTCTACAATAGCATTGCTGACAGTGATGTTCATTTCAAATTCCTTGATGGCACATACTGTCAGGTTCTACAAGTGTCATTCTGAACACATCCCAGTTGGAGGTGTGTAAGGAAAAAAAACCATGACATAGTCTACAGAGAACCCATTACCATCATCATTCACTACCTGGGTAAGCCAGTTCAGGGGATTTTTTGGGTCTGTTCACAAAATAGCCTCCATATTCATTTAAATGCATCTGTTCCAATACTACTTGGGAAATGTTACTGCCAAATACGAAATGGTATTTGTGCATCCTTTGCATGAAGAGTTGGTATAGGAATAATGGTTAGGTGTGAGAAGTGTGTGTATATTTCCCAACACAGGCACTACAGATTCTCTCTTGGGTCATCCTTCCAGCAAAGCATACTCCAACATGCTAATCATAAAGTACAGCATTTCCACACAGATGAAACTATGGGACAGATTCCTAAACTTGTTGGAATATCCCAGACAAACAGTCTGTTCTGACAGTAAGACAATACAGCTTATTTTAGAAATATTGAGAAGATAGATGTCAGGCAGAAAGCAGTTGGGAAATGTAATTTACTATGAAATGACAGACTCCTTTTTACCTTGATGTCTCCTCACAGCTCTATCAGAGGTGAGCAGCATAATCTACTGTTATTGCCAGCCCACTGTGTTGCCATGGCCTGTCTTTCCCCATGACCCAGCTGCTGCATACTATAGGCACAGCTATCACTGGTCATGTAGACATGGCTCCCTAGGACTAAAAAGAGGCTGTGGCATGATGCTGTCAGTGTACATACAGCAGTCAGGCACTGCAGCAGGGAAGTGTGATGTGGGGGCCAAAGGCAGGTCTGAGAAGTGACAAACTAGGGACTGAGCAGTTGGGAATAGGAAGAGTAGACATAAATCAGTAGATCCCAGTAGGGCAGGTATCCACATAGCAGCTCTGCTAATTATTCTGGATCTGACCCTGAGGTATTTATTGATGTCTTTCCTGAACAGCGGGAAATGATTCATTTAACTTCACTGATAGTAGCCCAAAAATATTCTAGATCCTTGATAACTAACTCATGAGTTTAAAACTGCAGAGAAAGCTTAGTTCTTTTGCATTTAAGCAACTCCTGTTGAGAAGACATCCCCTTTGGCGTGCAGGCACCAGCTGCTCTGACAACAAGCAGCCAGGGCAGAATGTGGATTTAAGGATACCAGCTTGTTGGATGCATTTCCCCCTTCGTGTCACGCAGCATGACTTAAATCCTATTCAAAGAAGTTTTATTTTGTCCAAGTTTTGGGCTTGGCAGATTTTATTTTTCTTCCTTGGTGCTCCTTTCATTGCTGCTGCTGTCCTGTGTATTCACATTATTCATCCAGTCCCAAAGTTGCCTATGCAACAACTCCATCCTTCAATGAGCTTCTGAACTTGCAAGAGGCAGAAAGCCTCACTTTTGCTTCTGGCCTGCATCCTAATTAATAGAAAGCATCCATTTGTTCTGACTCCTCTGCACCGTAAGTCTTTCCTCTCATGAGGCTGTCTCTGGCACAGGAATCATGGCCATTGCTGCTTACAAACAACAGAAGGAACAGAAGATGGTCTTCTCTGAATGAGGTCTTCACCAGATGTAAGAAATAAATAGGAAACTTATTCCCTTGAAATGATGAGAGCTTTACCTATGAAAGCAAAACTGGTGATGGGATATAAATGCTGAAAAGTGCTAAGGTCTGTTACTTAGTTAACAAAAAGACATAAAAAGAAGATGATGTTTATGTTATTACCTTCCTCTATGTTTTAATGATTATTCACAAAGAAAAAGGAAAAAAAAATAGAGAAAACAAATTTTTTTAGAATCTCTTCTGCTATGTTTGTAGGTTGCTATTTAAATTAACTAACAGATAAAAGCTCTCAAACAACATGTAATTTTTTCAAAGTTGATCAAGGATATCTGAAGTCCAGTACAGAATAAGAAGCAAAGAACTTAGAAAAAAAATGGTAGATTTCAAAGGCAATGCTTTAAATTTGCACCTTGTAAGGTCCCTGGTATCTCAGAATTTAGGATAGAGCTCTTCTCCCCTGAATTCCCACTGAATTCCCATACATAACCCTAAGCCTTTCCTTTTCTCACCAAAAAGTATAGGGATGTATTGTTGAACAGAGTTGTGGTGTCAGTTTCAGCCACAGCAAAACACTGTTACTTAATGTGTGTTAAATAAAGACGGTTTTCTCTGTTTGGATAAATTCTAAAGATACTCGAATCATTAAGTCTTTTAACCCAGTTACTCTTCTAAAGTTCAATTAGTTATATTCCGACCTTTCCACAAATATAATTTGCTTAAGGAAAGGATGTACAGCACTTTGCCTGGGAGACTTCCCAGTGTTCTGAGGTGACAAGGATGCTATGAAACTAAAATGAGTACCCAGAAAACTACTTGTCTGCAAATTTATGGAGAGAAAGTATGAAAAATAAAAGTTGTAGGTACTGTTTATGCTCACATCAAACATTCTGTTAGTATTAAGACCAATTTCAGGCCATATTCATGCTCTCTACTCCAAATTCTATCAGAAATAATAAACTTCCAGGGTACTGTGCTTGAGAGTCTCTATCAGTGGTGAGTTAGAAGTGTAGTCACCTTCTTAAAGGTCTTCTCTTTTTTTTTTTTAATCTTTTGTGATGTGGAATAGCCTTCATGCAGATGAAAATCTGGCTTCTAGCATAGAGCAGTCAGATTAAATTCTGTCTTGTCAACCCAGTTGTGTACAATTAAAAGTTACTGTGAAAATCTCTGGAGATTCCAAGGTCAAAGGCAAGGAAATAAGTTGATAAGTAGCATACAGATCTGTAGGAAGAGAATAAATACTTTGTGGTTGGATTTGTTCTAATTTGCTATTTTGAGACCCCTCTTCTTGTCCTCTGTTTTGCTCTCCCAGCAACACTTATTCCTTACGGAATTGCTTTGCTTAATTTTTGAATTTTGCAATTCTACCATAGGTTTTACTGGCTCTTTTCTTCAAACCAGTGAAGTTAGCCACCATTGGTCCCATCTACAGCTGCATTACTTTCTTCTAATAACTGTTTTAGAATAGGAATAAATTCATAACCAAGGGCCTACTGGGAGTCGCTGCCACACATTGCCTTCTGGATATTTATAAACTGAAAATCCCATGTACCCAAATCACAGCATTTCACCACATTTGCTGGGGTTAATGTGGTGTGATGTGAAAATTAAAATTAGACAATCAGTTTCTCCTGTTTAATATTTAGAAGAAAAACTGAAAGTACTTCAGGGTAACACTTCAGCAAGCAGGAAGTAATTTGGTTAATTCCCTTTTGGGTATGCTAATCACCTGATATTTTTCTTTCACACTTTGTTCTCATCCTCTTTGATCTCCTCTCACTCCTGTTCCACTTGCTCAAGAGCAGAAGTACCCTTGAGCCGAAAGGCGAGTCTTTTCACATGGAAGATTGTACCAAGCAGCCAATTAGAAAATACTTTATTTTGCTAACTTTCTGCTAATTAGTAACTCTGGTAGTCAGCTGGGTTTTGATTGCCTAAATCATTTCTTTGACAGATACAATGTATAAATCTTTAAAAAACAAAAACAAAAACAAACAAAAAAAAAAAAAAACAGGCTTTAATACAAAATGTGATTATCTGCATTTTCAGCACCTTTCTGTTAACAACTGTTTAACCTTTCTGCTATATTTCTATGTTCTAGTTATTTGCTCTGTGCAATCAACTGAGCGTAAAGAAATGTATAATGAATGTAAATACATACATCAAGAGTGAGAAACAAATCTGTAGTTACTTATATCCATTATATTCATCACCATGAGCACAACAATATCATCAGTTCATGAATGCTACAGATTTTACGTTTCCGTCAGTGTTTTATGTAATTTGTCTTCCTTTGTAATTTACATTTTTAAGTTTGTATTTTTTTCTTTTCCAAAATGATCTGACAATTCAAATCAGGGAAGGGTTACTTTTGGTATTGATAAGAGAATCTCTAATGAAATATAGTTTGTAGGTATTTGTGCCTAGGGCTATCAGAGAAGTTTAACTATTCCACCATGATAAGATATGTGGCAAAATAATTGCATTATGTCATCAAAATGTTTACAGATTGGGCATGGTAGAGATTGTTCAGAATTGCACCAGAAATAGTTTTCCTTTTATGTCTGAATGAGAAATCACTCAGGGACTTTTTGGAAAGGTTATTGTCAGTGATGTTCCTTCTACTAGCTTGTATTATTACTGGATAGTAACGCATCAAGTAATGTATCATTACTAAATAGTCCATTCATCTATATTGTAAATATAATCTTCTCTATTGCTGCCTGAGTATTACAGCTTCTCTCATTCCTATACGCAGCAGCATTTATTGTCTTTTATCTTGTTCTATGCATTATCCAATTTTCCAATAGATCCTAATAACTATAGAACGTGTCCCTACAATTTTACACTGAAATAATTAAAATAATAGATAGTTTTAGTGTATTTTGTGGCTAAATCAGTAATTTCTGGTCCATTCTGTGTTTCTTTTTTTTTATGCCCATAGTTAACATCGAGATTTAAAACCTTATTTTCTTTACTCTTGGTTTTGTGCATCTCAGATTTTGCACTGGTATTAGTAATAAATGTGCCTTCCCTTTTCAAACTAAATTGTAACTGAAACAAATGACCAAAAAACATGTTTATCTTTGGAGTTCACTTGAATCTTGCAGAAGGATGAGAAGTGGTATTTCAGAAAACAGAATAGGCTGTGAGAAATGTGCTCAATTCTAATATAGTTTTTGAAAGTACACTTTTTTTCAGATGTGCAAAAGAGAGTCAGTGTACCATTTTTTATCTTCACTCAGGACTGTGAGATCTGTGACTGTCATCTGAAAAGGGTAAAATGATGCTCCCTCTCATTATCGCACCTTTGTTCATTTGTCTGAGAGATGTCAGGGGAGCAAAGTGGGGCAGCATGGTGGCATGGCTCCATCAAGGCACAAGAGGTGTTGGCTTCAGATGCTATGGCAGTGACAGGTTGCTTCTGCAGGGTTGATTATCCTTCATGGGGGGACCTTGGAAGATATACTCTTTTCCTCAGGGTAATTCCTGGGGCAATGCCACCTGAGTGGCATTGAAGAGGAACTCAGAACTTCAGACAGGCAGAATAAAAACTTGAAAGCCTTCCAACTCACACCATCCAAAAAAAAAAAAACTTTATTTAGTACAAAATTAGCTTCTGTTTTCCTTCTCTGAAATATTTTTATAGGTGTAACGATGTGACTGACAGCTTGCCCAGCTTTTATTGTTGCATTTGAAAACCTCAGCTACCCAATTTTAGTGGATCATAACAGAGACATCTCTGAAGTGATTACTGTAGAAATTATATCTTCAAGGCCACTTCATTTTTGCAGTGAGTCTGAGACCCACTATCTGAACAGAGGGAATGATCCAGTATGCTCCCAAACTCACACTGGTGCCTTAAATTGCAGCTGTGGGCCTGTTTTCTTCATATTTCTTGATCTGTCATGGCACAACGCCACAATAGGTGTGTGGCAGATTAGAAATACAGGCATTGACACAGGCAGAAAATGTAAAACACAGTGGAATGCACTTCCTTCTTGAGAGACCATATAATTACTTATTTCTGCTAACACTGAGAATTTTTTGAAATAACAGTAATGAAGACATCAAATTTGTGAGGAAAAATGGTCTGCTTTGAATCTGGAGTAAATGACTGATATCTTTTGTCAATGGAAAGCATCTTTCATTTTCTAAAAGCAGCATGTAGCATGTCTACAGGCTACTTTTGTCTATTTCTTTATAATTTATATGCTTACCCCTCCCATCATCTATAGTCCCTTTTCCTGTAGTGTCAGATCCTAACCCAAATATTAACGTTTGTGCTTCTTGACATTTCTTATGAGAAATCAAATTAATATTACTGTCAAAGGGAAACACAGCTTAAGTTCCAGCAATCAGATGACAGAGGGACCCCCTTTGCATATAATACGTATAGACACTACAAGAGCAAGAAACAAACAATTCAGCAACTCTGTTTTGAAAAGGATATGTTGCATTGGTGTGCTTGTCATTTCTCTTGCTGATCACTTATATTCATGAATGACAGTAGATCAAGGAAAAATGACTTTCAGTTCTAATTTGAGCTTCAAAGCCTCGGGGGCAGGTAAACATGGCTGTATGTTGGAGAAAGCAAACAGACAGTGTGCTGGTAATTAACATAAAAACTTTCTGATATTGTAAGGGTGTTTGGGCAAGAAAGAGTTCCTTACAACTGAGTCAAAATGGAACTACTGTATGCTCTGCTGCATCCCATCAAAATGAAAGTAGAAAATAATACGGCGTGTACTAGCGCACTGTATTTGGCATTAAGTCAGTCCCTTAAAGTACTGCTTTGGTGGTGTTCTGAAACTTTCTCTTCTGAGAAAAAAAAATTATATTTACAATTGCTCCAATGTCTGTCTTGTTTCTACAAATTGCCATTCTCTATGTTTCCTATTGCTTTCTCCTGACCTTCATCAAATGTACAAGTGATCGTAGGACCCATGTCCTCGGCCTGTGGAACAGACATCCCTCCACTAATGCCTGTGAAACATACTCAAGGGGCTGCTGGGGTCTCTGTGTTGTTTTAACTCGTTTGGACTCTGCTAAAGTTCCTTCATCCTAGATTCCATGTCTCTCTTAAGCTGTTTTGGTCCCTTGCTTTTCCAGCCAGACAGTCAATAGCAAAAGCAAGGGCTGGCACAGTTTTAGATTGATCTCATTATAAACTTTTCTGTATTCTTTACTCACACACAGTTCAAACACCCATTGACAGGCAACAAGTTTCCTGCCGCCACTTTCAGCTTCACCCTTTTACTCTAAAGTGCTGCTCTTTTTCTCTTAGTATGACTTTTGCTGATCCCAGCAGGTGCTTGGCTAATGCACCTTTGTCCAGCTTAAAATAGTCAGTTCTCAGTGCTTTTCAAGTCAATAATCAGGCCAGCTGCTGTGACTTCTTCCCTGGAGATGAATTCCTTTTAGCTAAGAGCGCTGCTGCTGTCCTCTGGTGCCTACTATGCATGTTCTGCTGGTGAGCAAACATGGGCTGAGCCTTGACGTCACTTTGCTCACATCTCTCTTCACAGATGCTCCCAGTATGTGCTGGGAGCACATACTGCTGTCCATACCACTTCCCTTTGACCTCCATGAACACGTCTCACGTTGGTGCTTTGGGCTCCCTGGCACATATACAGGATTCAGGCACTGTCTGCTCTTCCCCTATGTCTGTATGGAGAAAAACATCCCTTTGTCCCATAGATGTGGACTGCAGGGCACTGTGTGTTTGGTTTTTCCCCTTCGCATACTAGGTTCAGGCTTCACTGCCGTTCCTCCCCGTAATAACAAGGTACTGAAGACAGCAGAATTAAACTCCTACAGGATTTCATTTATTTTGCGCTTTGCTTAAAAACATGTTCTAAGTATGCATGCATTCTGCAGGCACAACTGTGTTTCTCAGATCACAGTGTTACACGTTTGCAGTTCAGCTGCTCTTCCAGAGCTAATTGAAAACCATAATGCCTGTTAGAGCTAACCATTGTCAGGAATAAGGATGGCTCTGACTTGTTTCCACTCCACTGGCAGCTGCTTCTTGTAGATACAATATGAAGCTCTGATTAAACCACATTTCTGGAGTTCAAGCTTTGCTGAGTGTTTTAGTAGTTCTATTTCTCACTCACACTATTTCCATAGTTCATTTTACTTATGGTACCTGGCGTAATTTAGTAACCATTAAAATCAGAGGACTGATGGAGTTCTGCCTCATTAGTTGCCTGGAGCCCGTGGCAAGCATGTCTATGCCCACTGCAGGAGCCTGGGGACCCCACACCACCCCTTCCACAATGCCAGCACAGCAGTTCATGTGGCCACACAATTACCCGAATGGTCCCACA